ACATTGAATGTGTTTCAAGCAACACATTCCTGATCACAAAAAAACCTCACAATGTAAAAGAAACATACCCAGTGCCCCATCTGTCTCTCTGCATCACACTGACGATTGTTGTAACCAATGTGCTCTATCACTCTGGGATATATTGTGTCTCATAATGCAATCAGCCATCTCTCTGTCTGGGTCACAGTGTATATCTCTAAATCAAGTGTCCTATCTCTCATTGGGTCACACTATGTATCTCTATATCCTGTGTCCTGTCTCTCACTGAATAACACTGTGAATCTGTATATTCAGTGTCCCACCTCTCACTGGGTCACACAGTGTGTCTCCGTATCCCATGTCCTATCTCTGTCTGGCTCACATTGTGTACCTCTATATCCAGTGTCCTACTTCTCTTCTACAGTGAGGAATTCAATCTGCTCTCAGTATCCCAGATGTGCTTAATCTACCGTTTTGTGCAGAGTCACGGCGAATTTTGTTTTACAGCTCAAAAAACACCAAAATCAATGAACTAATTGACACTAAAGTGGAATTGGATGGGAATACTTTGAGCTGGTGCCAGAGATTAGTCAAATTGGGGCTTACAGAATCAGCAGAATATCCATTTACAACATTGAGATCGATGGGAATTAAGTGACGCCTTTTATCTAGAAGAACAAAGAAAATAATCATCTCCTCTCCATTCTTGTGACCACATCCTCTAACTTCCATATCAGCACTCGTCTCCACATTTTGCCACAGTCTATATGATGAATATTCTCTGGATGATCCCATGTTAAAACTATGTTTATAAATTGAAGCTGTTGTTTTAAGGGGAAATGATACTGAAAATGGCAGAGGAAGAGGCTGAATCCAGACACTGTCCAGTTTTCTTTGCTCATTAACTGACCCACTGAAACACTCCCAGCATCCCCTATCTTAATAGACTAAAAGCCGAACTCCTTTCAAATGATTATACAATGGGAAGTGTGGATGTACAAAGGGATCTGGGCATCCTTGTACATAAGTCAATTAAAGTAGACAAACAGGTCCAGCGAGCAATTGGTACATTGGCCTTCACTTCAAGAGGATTTGAGTTCAAAAGTCAGGACGCCTTTCTGCAGTTATACAGGGCCTTGGTGAGACCACACCTGGAGTATTGCATGTAGATTTGATCTCTCTACCTATGAAAGGATATACTTGTCGCAGAGGAAGTACAGCAGAGATTCACCAGGCTGATACCAGGGAGAGCAGGACTCTCTGATGAGGAAAGATTGGTTTGACTGGGCCTGTAATCATTAAAGTTTAGAAAGATAAGAGGAGATCTAATTGAAACATATAAAATTCTAACAGGTCTAGACAAAGTAGGTACAGAGAGGATATTTACTCTGGTTGGGGAGTGTAGAACCGGGACGGACGGTTATGGTCTCAGGATGCGGTGTAGGCCATTTAGAAATGAGGTGAGGAAACTTTCCTTCACTCAGAGGGTGGCCAACCTGTGAAATTGACCATCACAGAAGACTGTGGAGTTTGAATCACTGAATATATTCAAGGAAGAGATTGTTTTTTTTAGATATTAAAGGCATCAAGCAGCATGGTGAGAAAGTGGGAATATGATGTTGAGATAAAGGATCAGCCATCTCTATATTGAACGGTGGACTAGGTGCAAAGAGCTGAATGGCCTACTCCTGATCTTAGGGCCGATGAGGTCAAAAGGTGAACGGTTAGAGAACTGGAACAGCACCACTAGCAAACTGAAGTTTGCACTGATTCTTGACTCAGCACTGCTGATCCACAGTTAGGGCAACTAAAACCCATCCAGAAATAAACTCTCCCCTAAAACACGTCCAAACCCTCTCTTTTATGAAATCCATTCACAAACTATCTCTCCTCAACAATCCACAAGCTCTTTTTCTTTAAATTCACTCAAACTCTATCATTTTCTTAAATAATGGACAGACTATTTAGTCCAACACTACCATTGAGAGCAGTCAACTTCTTGATAGTAGGGAGGAGTTCAAAGCCAACTGCTTTGCTGTGGTCTAGATTCACATATAGGCCAAACAAGGTTCCATAACGACAGCAAATTTCGTTTCCTTAAAGGAAGCTTAGTGAGCCAGGTGAAATCTCTCTGACAATCCAGCAGTTTCATGGTCACTATTCTTGAAATGAGCTTTTTAATTCATTATTATTTCGTCAGATTCATTTTCCCCAGCTGCTATGGAGAGATTTGAACTCATGTCACTGGATCAGTAGATCTCTCGATTATTAGTTCCCTGGTTGCTCACAGTGCTAATGTTACTGGAATCTAAATTAATTAATATTTACATTTCACCTCATTTACAATTGAAACACACAACTGAATTGTAAAGTAGATTGAATTTGTTCCTTTTCGTTTCAACCCAGACATTTAATTGATGAATTAATCTGATTGAGGTTATGCAGTTTTTGTGAAGAACTGATAAACTGAATCACTCTTTCTTGTTGCATGGTGTTTGTGACTGATTGCTTTTCTCATCCCCTTACTTTTTGAGTATGCAGAACATGTTCTGAAAGGGAGGAGATATACAGACAGACTGACAGGTCGATAACTTGATCTTTGAACTCCTGTCAGTGCCGTCCAGGGAACAGGCGGGGTTTCTGTTGAAAATTGCTCCCTGCTCAGATAAGGTTGGAGAAGGGAAATTAATAATGTGACTGGTCATACAGCAAGGGTAGAAGATTTGAATAGAAACAAGGTACAGCGTGGAAAAGACAGGAGATTGGCACTAAGTCATAATGCTCATTTTGAGAATATGACGGGTTCAGCGCTCTCCTCTGTGCCGTAGTGATTCTGTGAACACCCACAGCATTCCCCTCAGCCCAGTCTCAAATGCCAAAATTGGATTGGAAGTCCCATTCTCTGGATTACTGCTCCAGGAGCGTAACTCCTACAGCACCGAACCCCGATACATTATATCACCGCGGCATCTGTGCAGGAATTAGTGCCTTTGCACCAACGTCACAGCCACAGTCTGAATGCATTCTCACTCTCAAGTTTTCCATCTCACTCACCCACTCACACTGAATACAGAATCAGAGAACAGAAGTTCAGGAAACCGAACAGATTGGAAAAGAAGGAACAAGAGAATGTGCAAAAAAAAATACACAGCCACGGAGCTTTTCAAAAAAAAAGAAATGGCGAGACAAAGGACTCAAAATTCAGGCACACCTTCCAGATGCCCACTGGCCTATTGAGCCTCGCCACGACCAGACGAGAAGCAAATATTTAACCCTGACATGATCATCGTGAGAAATGGATAATCTGATCACTCTCACGTGGTTGTCTATGTGATCTTGCTGTGCACAAATGGATTGCTCTACCTCCCACATTGCAATGGAGACCACGCTTCAAGGTGTAGTCCGCAGGCTGCGGAGTACTTTGGGACATTGTGAAGTGGCGAAGCCTAAACAGAAACAAAGATTCTGGCCTCACAGGATCCAGTCAGTATTTCAGACACTGCTCTGACGCTGCAGTATGGAACAGTTGTAAGATTTACCTCAAAGACTCATATTATTGTTGTACAGTGACAGGTTACTAATTGACCTGGAGAATAATTCCCTCTGATAATCTACGTGTTCTGCAATAAATTATACATTTTCAATTATTGCTGAAACATGTGGATGATTATTAAATCAGGAGATTTCCCTCAAACAATGATGTAGGAACCAGTTACCCTGAGGAGATGATTAAATTAATGACAGGATAATTAATATTTAGAAACAATTGTGAATTTACATCTGAATGACTTCATTGCTGAATAGTTTATAGGACTGAAACCCAATCAAATCAGCTTGTCAGACACACTGAGATGACAACTCTCACAGGAATCAAATCAGGTGCATTTTGGTTGAAATCTGAACTTCATAAAACAAAATGTTTCACAAAGAGTTTGAACATTAAAAACATCAGTGACCAGAAATAGAATTGGATAGATTCCCCACTTGAGATATAATCCCAGACTCTCCACATTAACTGAAGTTCCTCATCCCTGAAGTTCCAGTAACTGGCTTTAGCTAACCTCACCAAGACCTCAACATCCAGAATATTATCAAGAAATGGCCTCAATCCTCCAACTGGGGCATAACCAGGGATTTCTAATGATATGATATCACTTTTTTTTTGTACTCCATGCATCTGGTAATGTATCCAACAAAGGAGTGTGAACAGAATTCACTTTGACAAGAGATAGTAGGAACTGCAGATGCTGGAGAATCCAAGACAACAAGGTGCAGGGCTGGATGAACACAGCAGGCCAAGCAGCATCATAG